TTTCGTACCATGTTGCAGAACAAGGCATTCTTGGTTGAGTGGCTAGCACACAACACGAAGCACGGACCCGACATCATTGCCTTTGCAGGAGTCGGTATAGCAGAATCCATGTTTGCTTATTGGGGAACCTGGGCATGATCCGCATGTCCACGAATTCTGATGCATGAGTTTTTCAGTTTTGCATATTTTCAATTCCTCAATTCCGTGATGCGCGTGTTTGCACTTGACCCATTTTGAATCTCAAGAAATATGTGTCTGCCTCCGCAGCCACTTTCGGTTTACAACCAATCCGACCTTTGCAATCTTGTATGCTCGATCACCTCGTTGACATGCCCATCCTCAACCTGATGTTTGGACGATCCGGCGATGCGGCACCTGTGCCAAAGCCGATGATCAAGAGGCGGGCGTCACCATTGAAGGAATCCCCTGCTCGTGATGAGGAAGATGAGACATCCGATTGCCCCATGGAGCAAGTCGCTGATGAGAATCCATCCGCCTCTCAACAACCCGAGAATGTCAACATGGAGCAGGTTGATTATGGTCGAGATTCCGATGATGATGATTCCGATGAAGAAGGGCATCCTCTCGAAGGAAGGCCTTTGTCAAAGGCGATGCCACATCCGAAACTTGTTCCAAAGTCACCGCCACAGACATTGAGGCTTGTCTCCAAGGTCAAGCCAGCGCCAAAGAACACCCTGGATGACGAGACGGAATCCGACAATCATCCTGGTGATCGACCTGCACTTCCAAGGCGACCAGTGATGCGGCCTGTTCTCACATCCAACGATCGGTGGTTTGTAACATATGGATCAGATACGAACATCAGCCTCCAGAAGGAATCCGTGCACCCAGGACCATTCGGAAACTCAAAATTGCTGACTTTTGTGCACGAGTACTACAAGGAATGCTCAACCATCCACGATGTCAATCCGGATTTCCACTTCGTCCCTGAGCACGAGAGACCGCATGGAGTCAAGGTATTCTGGTTGAAGGCAAGATTCAACGATTACTGGCATCCGACAGACCTCATGCAGAGAAGCAATACATGGACTTCATCAAGAAGGTCTACAGCATCTGCTGCTACAGCAATGCTCAATCCGAAGTTTACGGAACCGACATCATCCCGATGGTATGCCACAACGGCAACATTGATCTCGATAAGACCGTCCAGAATGTCGAACAGGTTTGCAAATATGCGAAACAGATCACAGATCTCATCCTCTGGCGAATTGAGAGAATGAGCAGATCGTTTTCCGGATGTCTTCGACATGATCCAAGGCATGGAACCCATAAGGAATGCAAACGGCAGGTGGAAATGGGTCCTGATGGATCCGTCGAGCTCTATGATGCATTGACCTGCATCACACATGCCAGGAACTTCATTGGAAATAAGCCAGGACTTCTCTTGATGGCTATGTTCCCGAGCTATGGAAAATCACGTTTCGAAATTGGGTTCGTATTTCCATCCGTGGACGGGACATATAAGGAGCGCAAGGCACGGGGAGAAATTGTTCCAAGGCGATGGATCGACAAGCTCAACACCAGATCCGCACAAAATGCACTCAGGCCCGACGGCAAGGACTTCTATGTTGATCCAGAGATGGAGTTCTATGTGAGATGCAACAGCGGACACACACGACAAGTCGATATCCAATCCTTTGGACGACCCCTTTTCTCTGAGCAGAAAGAGCCTCATTACGACGAACCGGACTATGATCTACCAACGGAATCCATTCCGCCAAGTCCGCATCCGTCAAGATCCGAGGCGCCTCATGGAGATGAAAGCACAGCTCAGCCCAAGTACAGAATGCGAAGGCCGGCACCACTATCCGTTGAAGAAGAGAGAAAGATCAAGCCGTTCTCGAAGAAGCCCATCACATTCATGTTCCATGCAACCTATGGAAATCAGCTCTGCAGCATCATGGAGCACGGGCTCAAGTCTGGGAAGTCCCAGTCAAACCCTTCGGGGAGAATGCACGTCCACATGGCATGCATCGATGACGTCATCCTCGAAGACGATGAGTCAGAAACCGCATTGACCCATGTGCCAGCAGGAAGAGATGCGCTGTTGATCCTTGCTTTTCTCAAGGACCAAGACTATGGCATCCGCCTCTCCGAAGAGAGAACAGCGTTGACAGATAAAACCATCGAGGCAAGAAACATTGTTGCAGCATTTGAACCCGATGGCAGCCTCATGGCGAGCAACAAGTGGATCATGAAGAAGCACCTCGATTATGAAGACTTCGAGATGTATGACACCAAGATCCGCGAATTCGCCGATGCCTTCTTCAAGCATGTGAATTCCACCAAGCACAGCAAGGAAAAAGATACTTCCTCAGAGACCAAGAAGAGACGGCATTCCACCGATCAGGACTCCACCGAAGGAGAAATGATGGAACCCTCCGGGGAAAGATCCGTCAAGCCGAAGGTCATCGTGGAATATCATAATTCAGAGAACCTAGAAGAGTTCATCCAAGAACTCAAGGGAATCTATCTCGAAATAGATATGAACAAAAAGGACGCAGAGGAAGAGCTCGCGGGGATCAAGGAAGAACTCAAACGCTTCATGAACCAGTTCAACAAAGATCCGAAAGGAGCTCATCCCAATTTGACAGAGTGCGAGAGAGCCTCATTGGCACATGTCGATCCTGATGTCAATCTCGGTGAAGAAGAATTCTACTTCCCTCATCGAGGAGAATCTCCCACCATTGACGAGTACAAGCAAGCTCAACCAGGATCCGGATATCCGATCAAGCTGCCGCTTGGACTGAAGAAGCTCAGGTCACAAGATTACCCGAAAATCATCCGAGCCTATGCCGATATCCTGGGATCGCTGATGCAGCCCACTGACCGTCCTTCCGTGGACTATCTCAACATGCATGAGTTCACCTCATCCATAGCGATCAACATGCTTACCCTGAACCATGGAAACCTCACAAGGAATCCAAAGTTGGACAACAGGGAGGTGTACAACATGCCGATGAAGGATCGACCGATCGTCAAGATGATGATGCAGAACAGTGCACACATCTTATGCCTGAATGAAGCAGACGCATTCTTCAGTCCGAATGATGAGAAATCCAGGGAGCTCATCAAGACGTTCATCCGATACGGTTACAAGGGCATCGTGATCAAGCAATGGTCATCCAGACCGATCGCATGCTTTGTCCGCGGCGGACCCTCTGCACGAGTGGAACTTCTGGCAAGACGCATTTCCACCAGGAGCCAGAATTGGGGAACCACATTCGGAATGTTCAGATGTTTCTTCGGAACCAAAGGAGATGGCACTGATCCCGAATACGAAATTCCGACCTCGGATTGCTTGGCAACCACAGGAACATCCATGTTTACCGAATCCAAGAAGTACATTGGAACGAGATTGCCAGCACGCACCATTGTCCAAGGACATGGCCGAGACAAGGAGATCGTCGCGCGGGCAGATCTACCATTCGCAACCATTGGAGTCTTCCACATCCATCCTTCACTTAGCCATGGAGCAGCAAAGGAAGATCTTCAGAATGAACTCATGCCGCTCGTAACCTTGTACCGATGCGATGCGATCACCGGAGACACCAACAAATCGGCGAACACTTACAGCAAACTCCAGCATGTCTACAATCCAACCAACGGTCTCGTGAACATCCTCATGAGAGCATGTCAGAGACTGTGGAATGCGACGAAGAATTTGCCACTCGTGGACAGAATGGTGTATACAGTGGAGACTTCGTGCACCCTGAAATCCATTGTCCGTCATCACCTGCACATGAAATGCGGATCAGGTTTTGATCGAACATTCCCAGATGTGATGATGACTATCGTATTTGGATGGGGCAAAACGAACATCCAGCAGGATTTCCGGAAGGTCGAGATGAACAGTATGGATGATGAACAACTGGAATTCATGCGGAACCATCCAACCAGGGCCATATTCGATTACCAGGTCTCATCCGCAGAGCGCTACAAGCACGTGAGCAATGAAATGTTCATGAACGGCTCGCAGCCGACTCCCACAGTCCTCTGATGGTTTACATCCGCAGGAAGTCTGCAACCAGTAAACGCAACTCTGATAGATACCAGAATTACGTCAAGAAGAGGCAATCATCCTGGACCACGCAGGAGTACAAGGACTACAACAAGAAGTGGGGATATCAGAAGCAGTGGAAGGACTATAGCACTTCGACCTGGAATGATTATGGAGACCATGGCAGTCAATCCGACAGCAGCCGCCGATGGTATCGTCGATCCGACTGACCATGAAGATACGTTCAGCACCACGAGCAATCCAGATGATTGATCCTCCTCGTCTACAAGACTATACCATGAGTGAGAGATCAATAGTTTCACAATTGTTCCGCGTGTACATCGCGTTGTACATCGCCCTTTGGTACAATTAGGTATCCAAAACGAAGCGTACATAGAGTTTCCCATTTCGAAGGCCAAGACATTTCATCCAAGCAGAAAAAGGATAAATCCGGCACTTTTAATCACATGGCTACGGCACACAATATAAGGCTACGGTCAAAGGCCATGCCAATAGTATTTCATACTTTGTGCTGGAGATCAAAAGAAATTTGTGTCTGTTTTGTGTTCTGTTTCTCAGACCATTGATCTCCCGCAACATTTGGCTCAAGGGCCCCTTTTGCATAATCACGACCATCCGAGCGTGAGGACAAAAGAGCCATTGCAGGCTGCTTACAGGATTATCCACAAGACAATCTACCAGGGACAATCCATCCTCCAATCATCCATTACTGGCATATTGGACTCTCTCCGACCAACAACGACCTCAACTACCACAGGGTTCCAGTTCCCTTCGGGGATAGGCACCTGGGGCAGTGGGCCTCACCCCACCCCACCCCACCCCACCCCACCCCCACCCCCACCCCCACCCCCACCCCCACCCCCACCCCCCCACCCCACACCCCACCATCCCCCACCCCACCCCAGCCCCCTTAACATGGAAAAGTGTGTGAAGCCTATGGCTGAGCATTCCTTTAGAGGACATGGCGGCGGCTCTGAAGCTGCACCTTCCCTGGGAGCGCTTTCCGGGAGAGATGCCAGAGCAGCTCGGATGGGGCTGAAGGCTGCCGGCATGCGGGGAACTGCTTGAAGGTGCAGGGTACTTCGTAAGTCCACTTTAACCATGGCGCTCGTGGGTTGTAACCAGGCTTACCAACTACTAAGTACCCTACCCTTTAAGTAGAGGGTGTGCCACAGCGCTCTTGTCAGGGTGCTGCTGGACGGTGTGACTTGGAATTATGCAGGGTGCTGTTGCAGGGTGATGTTTGTGAGTGAGAGTCGTGCATTGCGGGGTGCTGTTTAGTGTTGCAGATGCGTCCTAAGCTAACTTCAACCCCGCCCGAAGCCAACAGACCAACATCCATTTTAAATTCAGTTTGAATCAAGCTTAAAACAATCGCAATTCACGCAGGATTCGCCCTTGACCTGCCCTGCATGCCACAATTTGCACCCTAGGAACTTCAATTGTTGAGTTCCTGCAAGTTCCTACTTCCAAAGACTCCCGGAAAGGCTCAAATTCGATCCCGGGGCATTTTATCAGCCTTCACCGCCCTAACAAAGCTAAGCAGACAAGCAACCACCCGTGTTCAGCCTCCTTGCAAAGCATGCTCAAGCGTGCTGAACAGCGTGTAGAAGAAAAAACCAGCGCGCCTTTTTCTAGGCCAGTTTGGCAGGGGGATCTCTTTCGTGTTGCATGAGTCCGCGGCTGGACGGAGAGGACTGGCCTTGAACAGCCATTTTGGGCAGCTCCAAACTCCAATCTCACATAGGGTCGACAACCCACAAGTTGTGTTTCATGTGGCAGGCTGGTTCTTTCATGGCAAGTCCCAGGCAGGTCCCAAGCCCACGCCTCGAGCCGAGGCTCCGCGCGCTGGTGGCGCAGATGACGCTGCGCCAGCTGGCGCAGCGGCCCAGCGCCAAGGGGGCCCTGGAGCACGTGCCCTGGCTTTGGTGCAGGTTGCTTGGATGTTAGGACTTTAGCTGTTTGCCAACCAATAAATTTTGCATTCAACGACTAAAAGTGAAACTTTTAGCAGGGGAGCAGAAAGCAACCGAGCTGGGCTGAGGGAACTGGAGGCGGAGGTGGGGGTGCATGGCGTGATGCGAACTGGCAGCCGCAGGCCAGAGGGAGGCAAGCTGTTGGCGCAGTGTTGCGCATGGCCTTGCGAAATGGCGCGCCAACTTCTTCAGCTTCAATGCTTTTGAAGGGTAGGAGATGGGAGCGCGCGTGAATGTCACGGCCAGGACCAGCTTTAAACCGTGACACACAAGTAACCTGGTGACCGTATTGTGCATGGATAAATCATTGTTGGTTGGTATCTACAGGGGAATCATTATTTTACTGTTTATCAGGTGGCGCAGGATTTCGGAGCTTGCTACCCACCGGTGCCACTGCGGGTCCGCTCGGAGTGGTGAGCCCTGCGTCACTTCGACATTTAGCCGTGCCGATTTTCCTGGAGCGGTCTTCACCTGCGCGTTGCTTGTGGCCTGCCGAGGTGTCGCCAACTAACGAGTAGACCTTGTATTAATCGCACACTTGAGCACAATTGTTGGTATTAATCGCACACTTGAGCACAAAATTGACCAGAAGTTATGCCTACTTGTCACCGAACAGCCAAACAAGCAAGTTTCTTCCAAGGTCAGCAATGTACACGAGGCATGCTGAACACGTGCGTTTTTTTTGAACTAGTTGCGGTACAGTGCGGACAACAGAAGGCTTGCTTAAAACACATGAGCTGAATGAGCTAGAACCAGTAGAAAGACACACCTCAAACTGTATGGCAGGAATATGGCAATGAGCGGATGCCAGCAGTGCATGCACCAGTTATCGGAGGCCACAAAGAACAGGACATGTGCAGGAAAATGTCTCAGTAATTACTTGCAGCTGAAACTCAATACACCGGTGCACAAGAGTTTGCTTTTCTGAAGGATTACCCTTCCTACAAATAGATCGCCAACATGGGAGGGCGGGTACTCAAAGGGGCAGAGTACTTAGTAAGTGGCAGTGGTTAGCAATAGGAGACTTACAACCAGGGTAAGTGGATTATACCCATGGTTATTACCCACTTTCCATGTACCATGCCCCTTGCAGCAACCTGTTTGAACACTTATTTAGGGCATAGTTGGGCCCTCTCCACCCCCTATCCCTCCCCCCAGCCCCATGATGAACCCCACGTCACCGTGAACCAAACCGAAGTCTCACAACCCGCGTGTTGTGCGCGCCCCGAGGAGTGGTTCCACTCGGACAGCGACGAGGACCTGCCGGCGGCGTGCCGGGCCGCGCTGCTGGGGAGCTCCGCAGCGCAGTGCCTCAGGGAGCAGGTCATGCGCCCTGGGCTGAATCAGAAGACCGGCTGGATGCGCCTGAAAATGTGGCTTTGTGTTAAGGGAACCCACACTTCCCTTTGGGGAAAAGGGCCCTTAAAGCCACATACCCATGTGTTGCCTTTTTGTTGTGGGGGGGGGGTTGATGCCCCGGTATTTCAGCTGATTGGGAAACCCGATGTTTCCTTTTTGACGGGTACCCAGATGAAAAATCAACCGCTGGTTGATGTCTTGGGCTCTACATCCACGGGGGAAGCTAACGGGGATTGATCGTTTTGGATATTCCGAGAGCCTCTTGCTTGGCAATCCCGGGATGAGTCCTAGTTAATCAGGTTCCAACTCGCGTTTGTGGTTAGGCCGCCATGATAAAGCCAGCATAACTTTCGGCTCGATTGTGCTCTAAGAGCGTTGGAGATGTTCTCCGATGTTCTATTTCCTGTGAACCCTTGGTGCCTTGTCCAAACAGACCACGAACATGCGGTCCGTGTAACAGGTCTTGCCCACCGAACAGGAATTGATGCCACATGACACAGGTGGATCCACGGATCCTCAGTGCATTTGGATGTCTAACACTCAAAAGGAATCGCAAAGGCCACATCGAAAGAATTTCGGGGGGTCCTCCCACCCCAAAAGCTTCGTCCCCAGCTTTTGCCTTAGGCCCCTTTTGCCTTTTTTTCGGCAGGTACGAGCTGGCGCTGAAAAACAACCTCCGCGAACTGCGAGCGCTGCGCCTCGGAGTTTTTTTTACCCGCTGGCCTGGCCGCTGGGAGCTTTCCGAGTGGCCGCTGGAGCTGTTTCAAGAGTTCGCCCTTGTTCGGGTTTGCTTTTTGGGGAGCCCAATGGCGCATCCATGAAATTCAGAGGCGTCCACTGGGGTTGGAGGCAACTGCTGCTTCAACAGCGCTGGGCTGTTTCTGCTTTGAAGGGCTGACCCCAACAAACAACGGGAGGAGGCTTGCTTATGTGTTCTAAGCGCTTGGGACACATGCATGGCACTGAGGGCCACGAAAAAGGGCCGCGCGGGGCACCGGATGCAGGATTCGCGATATGTTTGTGCCTTTCCAGCTCATTGGCCGACACTGGCAGGTCCCCTCTCTTAGCCCGCTACCCATGTTGGCCCAAGAACTTTTGATCAAGGCCTTACAGTCCCGAACCCCCAACAATGTTGTAAAGAAAGCCACAGAATGGCGAAAAACATCCTGGCCTACATCCGTCTGCCAAAGCATGCCTCTGCCACGGAAAATGCTGGCAACGGACAGTTTGGCTCTTCGTGATTAGTACCAGGCAGCCAACCAAATCACATTGAGGCAAGCGCCGAAGTCAAAGCAACAAGTTTCTCAGCCAGCCTTCTGCGTGCGTAACACATGTTATGCCCATCCGCCCCCCCAGCGAAAGGCCAAGGTTTGGCCCTTTCCGGCCCGGAGAGCCAGCAGATTCTTAAAGATCTTAAAGTGAGCCAGGCTTCAAGAACGGCAAAGAGGGGGCCGGAGCTAAGGGTTCAATACATTCCACCCGTCCTTTGTGGAAGCCGACCATTTTCCCCCTTTGGACCAGGGTTTCAACCCGGCCCTGCTGGAGGACGGTTCCTTCTCCTGCCACTAGAATGGCACATAACAGTGGTTTTATCGAGGAGATCGATCTTCCAGGTAATCCCCTCCCATGCAAATGCTATGTGGCTGTGGGTCAAAACCAATGGTAGGTGCACCACCCATTTTAGTCTATTTGCGTGGTGATTGGGATGTTCACTGGGGGTACAGGCTTTTGATTTTGACCCATGGCCATGCATGCGGGAAGCACCTTGTGCCGTTCTGCTTCCACCGTTTGTCTCAGTCGCCCCGCTTCTCCCAGAGGCAGCAGCAGCTGTTGGAGGCGGACGGGTACCGAAGGGGCCGCCTGGCCCCGGAGGTGGTGCAGCATTACCTGGAGGCGCTCGCGGTTTCGCGGTTTCGCGGTTTCGCTCGCGGGGAGGGGAGGGGAAGAGTCTCCTTTTGGATGGGACATGGAAAGTAGAGACATTCACAAATAAGCCATTTGCAAGCAAGAGAGATCAATCTTGTAATCAATTCTCATCTAAAAGGGGACATCCCGGATGGCCAAATTTCTTAGACTCTGCTTTGTAGTGGCCTTTTTTGGATGATGGAAAATGGGATTGGCCAAGCCAAACCATTTGGAAGAGCCCAGTTAGATCGCCGCCAATCAGCATGGAACCTTTTCCGGGGGGCCCCGGAAGACCATTTTTCCTTCTAAAGGGAGCCCTGGCAGGTTCCATGTTTGGTGGGAGTTACATCGCCCGTGTCTTCACCCCTTGCACTGAGGCATCCCAGGTGCGCCCGGGCTGCGTGCGGGACTTTGTGACCTGTCGGAGCGCCGGCCTTGTGGAGTACCAGCCTGTTGGCTCAGAGTGGGGTCGGGGGGGGGGGGAGGAGCCCTCCCGCTCCACGGGTCTTGGTGGGAGTCCAGTTCTTTTTGGTTCTTCCTTGTTTTTCCCGGTCTTTTTGGGGTTTAGCGTTTGGGTGTCCAACCAAAAGCATGAAAAGTTGGGCTTCTAGCAGGGGATCCGAGGACGGCCCCAGTTTTTCTGGATCCATGAGGGGGTTGCTGGTCTTCCAGGACTTCCCTTGTGAGGTTCCATTGGAGGGAGGCGGCGGTTTTTGCTTTTTGGTCGGGGAACGAACCAAGGGCAATGACGATTTTGCGTGTTATTTGAGCACAGGTTGGGTGCATTTGCCCAGTTTTTAGACCAAGGAGGGGAGCTGGCGGTTTATGTACTTTTGTCCCTTGCTCCTACATCCACTCGGCAACTTCAGAAATTGATTGGAGTCGTAGTGACACAGTCCTTCTTGGAGTGTTGCCCCCATTGCTTTGCGGGGTTTCTGGGCTCTAGGAAGGCAAGCGCGTGTACCCGGTCACAAATTTTCAGGAAGCGACCTAAGTAACGGCCTGGGGTGGCCCCTGCCACCACAGACAGCACAGCTGTTGACCTTTCCTGCTTCACAGCTGCAGCCAGCAACGTGCACCTTCTGGCGTGTAGCGCTGCTCCTGCTAGAACCCCTTTTCCACGGAGCCACCAGGCTTGCCATTGCCACGTTAGGTCGCTGCTGGAGCAGTCGCTGCGGCTCCGGGAGCAATATTCCCTGCAGTTCCTGCAGGACGGCCAACAGTGGCAGGTTGAGGGTCGGCTCGAGGCGAGAGATGGCTGGAGAAGTATGGGCATGTTTTGGCGTCAACATGCGCATGGATCCAGCGGTTTTGGCTTCCGTGACCTTGCTTGACAGAGAGAGTACTTTGAAACGCTAGTATGAGTTCCCACACAGCTACTTTGGATGGACGAAATCCTCCACCACCTGAGAAACCCCGAAATGACAATTCGCCTGTACATACCGACCAGCAATGGTTTCCATTGGTTTCCCATGATTTCAAAGCGGTGCAGATCCACAGTATGGCCCACATCAAACGTTCGAGGCCGGTTTGCTTTCTTATCTCGGGAAACCAACGCCTTCCTCTAGATGATTCTGCCCAGAGACTGATGCCCAAACCGGGGTTTTGGTTTTTCCGGCGTCTGATCCGCAGGATTTGTCCCCGGATCTGGGGGCGGACGAGGATGGGAAGCTGACCCGGCGGCAGCTGGAGACGCTGCTGAAGAGTGGGGTGGCACCTTGGGCTTCGGATTCATCCTGGAACGGCCCCCCCCCATGGGTTTCCTTCCATTTGCGAAAGAATATGCGGTATTTTTCCCGACCACTTTTCTGGGTTGCGCGTGAAGTCGCGGGACCGCTTGATAGGATGTTCGTCCTCCGGATTAATCCGCCAAGCTACGTCTTTTCCAGGGCGGATCCTTTCGCTTTTCAAGGGACTCTAAAGCAAACACTAAACCTCAATTTTCGGTTTCCCCAGCAAAAAAATGGACAATTTGGTAGTGATAGATTCTCTTCAACGCTAACCCCCAAACCATGCCTCTGACAGTCCAAGGAGTTGGCTGGTCCGCTGGTTCCTTGTTGGGTGGGGGCTGGCAGCTTAGCAGCTTGGCGGGTCGCACAGGTGGAGTGTGATGACGATGAGGCAGAGGAGATGCTAGAGGCCGGGGTCTGGCAAGGGGGGCAAGAGGCTGGTTTGCTGGGTAAGAGGTTGTTTGGCTGCCCACTTCCAGCAGAACTGAAGGGACACCCATGTTGATGAGTCGTGTGGATTCATCGACTCCGAGTCAGTTGATTCTTGTCATTGAAGGCCGAGTCAAGAGTTTTTTTCCGCAGGCTGGTCAAGACCATCCCCCGCAGCGCCCCCCCCCCCCCTGCTGAAGATTCCCTGGGGTGGGTCCTGTGCTGTGGTTTCTGCTTTGCAACGCCCGCTATAAGGCGAAGGTTGTGGAAGAAACAAAGCTTAAGTTTTCACCCCACAGGTAGAAACCGCTGGAGAAAGGCCGTTCCTTTGGGAGTACAGCTGTGGCCCAGTGGTTCCATGATGGCCTTGGGCGCTCTAGGGCATTTGGGTCGAATGTGGCAAAGCCAGGCAACCCCTGCACTCGGTGGGGCACCTTTTCAGAAAAAACAACTCAATGAAGAACATTGGGATCACAGCGTGGTGTACCGCATGCTCACCCCACTCGAGATGGCGATGGAAAGTGAGAGAGAGAGAGAGAGAGTCAGAGAGAAGGATAGAGAGAGAAAACAAAGCAACAAGTTGGCTTTGATTGAACCCGCGCTTTTCCGCCATGGGCCCCAAGCATTTGGAGGGCTCCAATTTGGTTTCTGCTGAAAAAACGCGCTGCCTTTTTTTGGGGATGGCCAGGAGCTGGTCCTGGACGAGGAGGGCCAGCTGAGCTTAGGCGCCTTCCGGGCCTTCCTGCTGCAGGACGGCCGCATCGCGCGGCGCACCGCGGTGGAGGGAAGGATCTGCGAGGGCGAGTGCTGGCGCTGCCAGCTGCTGTAGGGCCGCAAAGTGGGCGGGGGCTGAAAACCGCGGGATTTGTTTCGTCTTTCTTTATGTCTTTCTTTCTTTCTTTTGTTTTCTTTTTTTTCTCTTTTTTTCTTTCTTTCTTTCTTTCCTTCCAATGGTGGCATGCTTGGTTTTGTCACACTTCCATTCAACCCCGCACTTCGAATGTTGGCTAGCTTTGCGCCGCCCAAAGGCAGCCGGCCCGTCCGCGGCACGCGATAGTTTTACTTCTGCGCGCAGAACCTGCCAGCGGCGATTTGCAAAATCGGAGCGCCCGGCGGCCCGCCAGCTGCGCCATGCTGAGGTTCCATGGGTGTACCGAGTGAGGTTATCCGCGCGGTGCGGTTTCGTGACAACTCCAGACCACTCCAAACAGGGTAATGTTTTGGGCTCGCCAAAACCTAGGAGAAAGGATTTGCTTCGCTCATGGCCCGTAGGTTCCCCTCGTCCTGGGCCAAGAGTGCCCCGCAACTTCACACCAAAAGACTGCGCGGAGTCAAACCGGATCTTGAGCCGAGGCTCCACTGGGCCACCTTGGCCACGCGCACTGCGGCCACCTTGTGGACTGTGGCAAGGAGATGAGGCGCGCGGGTTTTGGCGGCGACCTGCGGGCCAAGCTTTTGCCATCTCATAGGATTCCCCCTGGTAAAGCAGCCGGGTTTTTGGGATTTGACAGGAGCCCCGAAGGCGGCGCTTGGCCTGCAGTTTGTTTGGACTGCGCCTGCGGTTGATCCATCTGTCGGGTGCTTGTGAGCTTGAAGTCGGGCCTTACAAGAGGCAGCGGCAGACAATATGAGCATGCATATGCGCGGGTATCATTTGCGCGAAGTAGCGTCGAGACACGTGACACAAGGCATTTCGACTGCTCCAGCTCTTTGCATGCTCAGACAATCTCAAATATGTGGTGTTTGAGATTGGTTTGCGCACTTGGCTCGGGTGCGGAGTGGGGTATACGACAAACTCTTGGTGGAATTTTGGTTGCAACCTCGGCTTGTATCCTCCGCCAGGGCAGTTCCTTCGAACCTGCGCAGCTCGTCAGCGAGCTTCCCACTCGCCGGGCTGTGGACGGTTTTGGATGCCCGAGGGCTGAATCAGGGGCGAAAATCCCTCGGGTCTCTGCGACGGAATGATTTGAGATTTCGAGCTTCCTGAAATTCTGCGAAGTGTGGTGGAGCAGAATCAAACATATGACTCATATGATGTTTGTTTGGTGGCACGAGCGGCAGAACCGGGGGCAAATCAGCCGTTGCATCCAAAAGTGTCGCCGAAAGAGGCCGAAAGTGCTGTCCCCAAAGCCGGGACACCGGGACCTGACCTGACCAACCCGAGTCGGGCGCCCTTTTGAAAATTTGTTTGGTCAACTGAAACCACGTTGTTTCCCTTTCCTATTCCGGGTGTCCATATCATTTCGCGCAGACCCAGCCGAACAAATCAAAAGGGCCCATGGAGCTTCGCGCGCGGAACGCGGCGTCGCCCCTCCCATTTCGAGTCTCACTCTTTGAAGTTTCGCAGAAACGAGCACCGAGGGTCCCGGAAAAGCCAGCTGCTCTCTCAAAGATTCATGTCCCGAACTTGCGTTGATCCTCATACCTGGTTGGTTATTTGTGCTTTGTGAGGGTGCACCAGAAATGCTTCCACCGGCCACGCTTAGTTCAGTTGCCCACATGATAAGCCCATCCTTTCAAAGGGGCGTAGGGAGTTGTCAAAGCGACACTGGGATTGCTTCCCCTCAACCTACTTGGAGGGTGACGATGGGAGAGCAATGGGGCCAGTGGCTTTCCTAGCTCTTGGTAGGGGGAGCCGTTAGGGAGATTTGGGGGTATCCAAATGTCCGAAACAGGGAGCCAAGCAGCTGCCAGGAGAGGTGTCAGGATATAGGCTTTCACCCATGTCTGTCTACAAGGCACCCGGCCTCGAGCCGTTTCGCCGCTTCGGGTCCCGAAACGGCGCTCGCGTGCCGGCGGCGCCGACAGCGCTTTTCGCCGTGCAAAATGACGCGCCGCGTTTCCATGCAGTCCCCGAGAGTCGAAGCTCGGGTGCTCTGATTGTCACTTCGCCCTTTGTTTGGAGGGCTCTCCGTTAATATCACGCGGCAAGAAAAAAGGGGTTGGAATGGATTCAGGAGAGTCGTAAAGTCGTAAGGCACAGATCATTTGTTTGTATGCCATTGTTCATTAGAGCCTCTAGAGCCTCAGCAGTTCGCGTTGACGCACTCACTCCACCCACTATATTTGGCTGCTCCGAGTTTTGCCACTCGGGGGATGTCGTGATGTCGTTGGCAGTGTGATTGACCCAGGTCAGCTGAGGCCGGACGCATCGTGTCGTGTGCAGGGCTTGCCATAGGGAATTGGGGTTTGGGACTCTTGGCTGCGGTTTGCTCAGAGTCAGGCATTGAGAAAATGATCAAAGCGAGGCAGAAGGCAGATGGAGGGTGAGCCATGCTGAAGGTTGTTTTTTCTTTCTCAGCCGATCTTTGACCTTTCGGTTGCCAGTGGTTCATGCAAAAGATGGTGTGGCCCTATAAATATAAAGTGTCCTCTTCGTGGTGTGGATCCCAAGGCCCGCTGGTCCTCCTGTCCTTTCCTGCAATGAAACACTTCCGTTTGCAGAGAGGAGAAGAGGCATTCCGAAGCTCTCAAGTTGCTGTGTGCCCCTTTTGGTCTCCGGAGCAGCTTTCTTCCACCGGCAAGCGGGACACTCCCCTCCGTGACGTGTAGCGAGCAAGGTGACGTGTTGTCTAATTTTGAAATGCTTTTGCAGGCCAGTGCGTGATCAAAGCGCAATCTTCCTGCGAAACTGTAGCGGGGTAGGTGTGGTGTAGGTGGCAGGCCAGGGCCATTCTACTGAATGCAGCGGCCCAGAGGCACCACAAAAATTGGACTTCTTTGGGCCAAACGTGGGCCACAGCTTGGCTGAGACGGCTCTCAGTGCGGCCCTTTTCGAGTCAACGGGGCTTCGGCCCGGAGGCAGCGTCGCGGGCCGGGGCGCAAGCGGCCGAGGCTCGCTCGCAAAGCCGGTTGTGCAGAGGGCTTTGGTTTCGCGTGTTTTCGGCGGTCGGCGTTTCATTTTTTGCTTTTGCTTTTACCGGTATTCCTTTGGCTTGCTTTGGTCGTGCCCATCCTTTCATGACTTTTTTTTTGGCAGGGTGCCATGGTTGCACCCTGCCATCAGTCGCTGTGGAACTTAACGGGACGAACCATGGCCCTGCGAAGAGGCGCTAGGCATGTCAAAACAACCGTTTTGCTCCTTCCTGAAGTCTACTGCAACGAATCTTCAGGAGAGCAGTACGGATCTCTTTGGCAGAACTGCATAGATTCCAGAAGGCACGCCAGGTAAGCCAGCAGTGCGCTCAAGATAGTCTGCCAAATTCGATTTGCGTTTGACTCAACTTGGGGGAACCATAAAATGAACAGTTGGTTCCTTTTGGCTTTCCTTTAAGCCAACCCAACACGGTACCCTCATCATTTAATCCTTGTAAGCCTCCGATGGTGTTCTAAAGATCAGGCAGCCTCCATGTGGGCTGTCTCTGTTTTGGGTACCTTTGTCTGGCAGCTTTCACCGGAATCCGCAAGGACCCCCTACCATTTTGGGGGGTCCCCGGAAGAAAAAAGCAAGGGAGCGCCGCAGCAATTTTTGGGGGGTCTTCTTTCAAAAATTCACGACACGCCTTCCTAAAAAAGACGGCACGCCCGGGCCTTGCCGGTGGATTTGGACGCTCCAAGTCAGGGGCCAAAGAGGCCAGCGGAGCCAAAGGCGCCGGAGTCGCAGTCGGAGGCACGAAGGGGTTTGGGGAGGTCGGAGGGGGGTGGGGTGGGGTGGGGTGGGGTGGGGGGGGGTGGGGGGAGGGGTGGGGGTGGGGGGGATGGGGTGGGGTTGGGTTGGGGTGGGGTGGGGTGCGGGCATGAGCATGATGGACACATCGCGTCTATGTTGCGTCCCACCAACATAGCACCTCAAACAATTTCCTTCGAGAGGAAACTGATCTTCCAGGCGCCCTCCCACTTGCGGCTTTGAGATGGCGAAGCGGGCAACTTCGAATGCGGCGAAGCGGGCAACTTCGAATGCTAGCGACCCGTGGGGTGTCAACCTTTCGTTTTGGATGCTTGTTTGAGCTATATGTAACCTAAGTGCACGGCAGATTGTTTCCGGAAGGTGCTCCTCCCACTGAATGGGCGGGGGTTCTGAGCTTGCGTGATAGGACCTTGGAAAAGCCCGGGTTTGAGCCGAGAGAATTCGCCGTAAGGATCCTTCGGCACCCAGCGCGGGGTTCCATAGGTTCAGTCCTCCGAACAGTTCCGGTGCCAGAACGCGCTGCTTTCAGGCCATGGAGGTGAAAGAGGAGGCCAAGCAGGAGGCCAAGCAGGAGGCCAAGGAAGAGGAGCAGGCGGAGGATAACGTGAAGGAGGAGGAGGAAGAGGAGGAGACACCCAAGGCAGGTGGGAACATGAGAAGAGTGATGGGTGAGCAAAGAGTTGGATGAGGCGCTCAGACAAACCAGGGCAAATTTGCGTTTTAAGGACCAATAGGCTGCGCCCGACCACACAAGCCGTTTACATGACAGTTGTCGGGCAGAAACATGCCTGCGAGAGAGTGGAGGAACAGCCCTGTCACAATCTGCCAGGATGGAATGGTTGCTCCTTTTGTGCCTTTAAATGCTCCCGCGATTGGACCGCGCTCATGGGCTTGGTGTAGGGCCGCTAGCTGGCACATAACAGGTCACGGCCGTGGCATCACCTATGCCGCAGAGGGTTTTGAATCCCCAGCTCATTTTGGCCTGAAGCTTTGTGGCCTGTTTACAAAGTGCAACCTTGAGTTCGGCTGAATCTGCTTGCCCTGTGTTCCAATTGGAGGAGCTTTTTGGGTTTCGACTGATTGGTCTGGGGTGCAGTTGCCAGATGAACATTTCTCATGTTCTAGTACATGTCTTCTATTTCTGGTTTCTCCTGTGTGTTCGTGATGCATATTTCCAGCATCTACAGTCCTTGCAAAGTTCT